AAGCACCTCTTTGGGGTGAAACTAATAATTAAAATACTCATTTTTAAAGGTTATTTTTAAGATCATCAATCTTGGGAGATACGTATTAATTATTTATTTATTTAGTTTATGGAATCCTTTTTCAAAATAATAAGAATAGTTTTATGAATTTGCTGATAGACTTGGGTAAATGGAAGATAGAATGAATAAATATGGATTTCCTGTATCACCTTTCACTCATGATTATTGTAAAAGACATACTAAAATTTGTTTTCCTATCTTATATACAGAATAAGAGTAAAGCCATGAAAAATAGCATTAATATAAAGAATTATGAGTTTTATATATTTTTTATTAAATTTCTGGAATGGGTTGTTGTACTATTAAAAAAGTTCATAGTAAGAATAAAGAAAAAGTTTTTTGTGAACCTAATATTTAAGAGAGTCAAAACCTTCAATAACCTTTGGACTAAAATCTCTAACCAAAATATCAAGAATAAACCATGGAAAAAGTAACTTCTGAGATTTAGATGGTTTAAAAAAATAATATGAACCATCTCATCACTCTCAAAGAGAATCAATATACTGTTTACAATAAAGATGATCTTAATGCTGTTGATGATCAATTTTTTTAAGATAAACATTAATAAAAACCTTAAGAAGTTGAAAAAGCAAATTCTGATGATGATTATTGATTTTATTCGATTGATCTAATTATTTACATTAAATATTCTAGTATTTTAAATTATTATTATCAAAATTTTAATTTTCAAATTTTGAGTTATTTTCACTTAAACTTTACTAAATTCACTAAGAAATCTATTTAAATTTAACATTAATCTACATTTTCATAATATATTTATCAAATTTCACTATGCCTCGCTGTCCGACAGATATTGTTTACTCTGAAAAATATAGAGATGCAGAATTTGAATATAGACATGTAATCCTACCACATGAATTATATAAAAAAATCTAAAAAATAGGAAGACTTCTAACAGAACAAGAATGGAGAAGTCTTGGTGTTAAAGGATCTCCTGGATGGGTTCATTATGATTGCTATAAACCAGAACCACATATACTAATGCTTAGAAAAAAAATTAATTGATATTAAATCTTAATATATATATATTTATAAATCTGTATAAATATTAAAAAAATACTATAATCTATCTTATTATCTTATAAATAAATTTTTTATTATATTTAAGGTAATCCATATATTTATTAAAACATTTCAAACTTATAAAGAAACCTAAAACATTCGTCTTTTTCATTATAAATAAACTAAAATCAAATTTATTTAATTTCCATAAACAAGTCCTATTTAATTTTTATATCAGTATGATCAATATAATAAACTCAAAGAGCAAAGATTTAAGTATCAATTTGAATCAAAATAAATCAACTTTTTTGAATTTACAACAAATATAATCTAATTTAATGGTAATTTTCTCAATAATATATTTATGTGGTATTTAAATAATAAAGAAAAAAAATAATTTATCATTAAAAATTCATCTAATACTTTAATTTTTGACAATTTTCGTAAGTTAAATCATCACAAAAAATGAGTATTTTCATAGAAAATTAATGTTTAAATAGCTATCTAATTTTAAAATCATAATTGCGATAAAATATATAAATTGAAATTTTAGTTTATCACTATTATGAAGAATTTTATATTCTTAGAAAAGTTTATGAAAAATATATATAAAATCGGTCTAGTTATAAACTCTTCTTAAATGAATTACTGTAATAAATTTCAAATTGTAAATTTATTTTTTTTCTTGCCTGAAATATAGATATTTCAAATTTTCATTGGCAATTATTCATGCTGCTCGAGATTAATAAAAAAATAATTAATCTAATAGAGTAAATGAATTTTAGAGCTTCTAATCAAAAAAATAAAAATGCTATTCGATTTAAGAAGATTAGATCAAATAATACTAATTATTCAAAATCTTTAAGCTATAAAGAGTAAAATTCATACAATTTTCGATAGTGGCTCTGTAAATAGCAAAATATAGAAAACTTTGGAAAAAAAATTATATAAGTGGAAAAAGTGCATGAATTGATAGAATTTGGGTTAAATTTAATAAGAGATATTAAATTTTTATTCATAATAAAAATCAATATTGATAAATGATGTTAAATTTAAAGATTTTTAATCAGGAATAGCTCAGAATCTTAGTGTGGTAGATGAAGAGATCAATAAAATTTCTTAGATTCAATGAGAAAATAATTTGATTGAGAGGGTTTTAAAAGCTTACAATTCATTAATGAATCCTAAAATAATTCAAAACAATATAAATTAATTTTAGCTATTTTTATTTCAGTAAAAAAAAAAACTTTTCCGAGATCATTTACATTTCAAAGATTAATTGAGAAGTATGATAGTAATTTATCTAAATTTTAATGTTAAAGATCTAAATAATATTAAATTGATAAACACCTTGAAATTATAATAAAGAATATTAAAAATAAAATTTTGAAATGAAGTATCATTATTAAATAGTATCAAAAGAAAAAAAATTAAGAAATTAAATTATAAGAATAAAAATTGCTTGATTTAAAATAGAAAAATAGTAAATAATTTTTTTAATTATGACATCAAATAATTAAAAATTAGATTTTCCAAAAATTTAAATTATGATGAAAATGGAATGAAGAATGGTAAAATTAGATTTCTGTGTTACAGGCTTTAATCAAAAAAGCATTTAGAGTGATAGAAATCTAAGACGATAAGTTTATGCAAATTTTAGAAAATCTTTAGTAAAATTATAAAAGTATCTTTTATAATGGATTTAATTGCATGAAAAATTGATTCATGATATAAATAATATGACAAATCTTTCAAATTAGCAAAAATTTATAAATTTTTTAGAAATATTTTTTATTCTTATATTTTATCTTAGATAACAAGTTATAAGATGAGCTGCAATATTATTTCTTTTGATGACTCTTAATTGAAATTTTCTTTAAGATACTTTCTTAGAGAAAAAAATAAAATTTATGGAATTGTATAAATTGAAATTATTTTCTATTTTCTGGATTTTTGAGTATCTAATTCCTAATTCTAAGATTACTAATTCTAATGTAGCGATGATTATCTAGAAATAAAATTAAAATTGATTAGAAACTTTTAGCTTTCAAAAAGCCAATAACCAATAAAAATATATGATTATATTTAACTATTCCATAATAAGTATGTCTTCTATCAGAAACCGAAATATTTCTGAAATGAATTTCAATTTTATTTTGATATTATATTAATTTAAAGATATTATCTTTGAAATTGAGAAAAATTAAAAATAAAAGAGATTTTTAAAATATTTCAGATCACTTAAGCTTCATGTGAATGGGTTAAATAGTATTCCATTACTGAGCTCTTAATAATGTAAATTAGTTTAAATTAATTATGATACAATTTTTAATTTTCCAAATAAAACTAAGATTATTGAAATTTTCTAAATTGAATTATTTATTTCCCTAACATACTTATCTAATTGGAAACTCTAATTAAAAACACAATTTAATAAAGGATATAATCTTTTAAAATTTAATTTGTAAGTATTCATTTGTAATTAAAAAAAGTTTTTATTAACAATTATTTTAAATTCCTTAAAGATTTTTTTTGCAAAATATATCTTTTATTAAGACAATTAAATTAAAATAAAGAAAGATAATTTTATAAATGATGCTTGATTTCGAATTTTACTATAATAAAAAAAAATACATAATTTAGTATTTCAAACTTTGAAATATCTAACTATAAATTAGAGAGGTATATAACTTTAAGAGATAGATAATCTTAATTCATAAATATTTGTTGAATAAAAATATTAATAATTAATATTATGGATACTAATCAATATATTCTTTTCTTTTTCTATAATTTTTTCGTTTTTTTTGAACAACTAAACCCTTCAAATTCAGAATCTTATAATTCATTTTAATTTATTTTGTAATCCCAGGAATCTTCATTTAGAGTATTTATTTTTGGAGAAGCTTCAAATTATTATTAGTTAAATGATTCTTCAAATTTAACATCAAACTAGGGTGTTTAAAACCATTAATAGTCATCTTGGCAAAAAGCACTGGTTTAACATTAATAATTGTTCTCTTCAGATTTTGTTTAAGTTGGAATTTGAGATTAATTATGATCTTATTAACTTGAGCTATTTTCATTAATTTTTTCATTACTCTCTACTTTTCTTTTTTCTTACATTTCTAAGAATTTTTATTTTTAAAGTGTGTTTAACATGCCTTTCTGATATAAAATTTCATTAACTTAATATTTGATATCATAATTTCTAATAAACTCATCTTACCAAGCTTTTGAAGCTTTAAAGTATTTATCATTAAATAATGATATTGCTTAGTCTTTTAATTAAGTTCTCCTTACTCTTTTTCCTTATTTAGCACTCTATTCAATTATCCATACACATAATTTTTTTTCGGCTTCTAGATTAAGTTTTTTTCTTCCACAGCCTGGTTTTCGATTTATACCTTCATTATACCATCTTCTAAGATTTTTAATTGATGTTTTATATTATGCACTGAGTGTAGAAAGGGTATCAATAGTGTTATTATATTACAAAACTTTCATTATTTTTTACTTATCTTCAAAACTAAGTATTCTGTATTTTTTCGATTATTACTCTTTTTTAGACTTCTACTAATTCATCTCTGATTAAGACATATGATTATTTATATTATTTATGATTAACCGCTCTTAGTTTTGATTCCTAAATTGCATCAAAAAAGCATGGGAATATTTATATCTCATTCTAATCAAATGAAAGTGATGATCAATATTATGATAATAATCCTAAGAAATCAATAAATAACCCTTTTCCTAGAATCTTTGAGCTATTTTCAAAGATTTAGACATTCATTTCATAGAACAAGACTGATTTACAAGCTTCATATTTTATTAAATATTTTAATAGGTGAAAAATGTTTGAAAATAATGCAATGAACATAACATAAATTTATTGTATTTAGGGATTATGATGTTATATAAAAATATTTAAGTATTGAAAATTCACCTTTTATAAAATTGTTTGTGGTATGATGTATTTATGTAAATGCATGATGCTTTTTTATATGTTTCTTTAAAATGGGGATTTTAAAGAAATAATTATTTTATTTAATATATATTTTAGGATCTTTTTATTAATGATTTTTATAAAAATCAAGTTAATTTTAATGAAAAATCAAGTTATGTAAATAATATACATAATTTTATATAAAATTTATCAGTATGTTATGGTAGGGTATGTTTAAATTTTATTATTAAGAAAATTAAGATATAATCCCCTTTTTAATGCAAATTAAATGAAATTTATGGAAATATTGAATAAAATATGTAGAATAATAAATAAAATCAACCAGG